GTGTGTGTGTGTGTGTGTGTGTGTGTGTGTGTGTGTGTGTGTGTGTGTGTGTGTGTGTGTCTTTTTGCCATGTATCAAGATAAGGGCATTTCAGATGGTTGTTATTTTGTTATTGTGCAGATTGAAACTTTCTCAGGGCTTATCTCATAACAGGAATTATTGATTGCACAACGTTCTTGTTGTATCTTTGCTGGATTAAATCATTTGCACACTAAATAATTCCAACAGATATGCTGGGGACAAAACATCATGCTGTGGAATGACTGGGATTTTTTGTTTCGTAGTTCATCTTGTTTTATCTGTCTTGTTGTTCATTTTGTCATGATGTTTGTGTTCTCTTTTGTGCGTTCCCTCAGTCTGTCGGTTCTTTTCCTTTTTACTCATCTGTCTCTCATTTGCCAATCGGCCAGCTGTGTCCACTTGTTCCTCATCTCTCCCAGTTATAATCCCAGTTCCCACCTCATCATCAGTCTGTGCAACTTTTAGTTCTGCTAACATTTAGTCTACCAACAAAAACAGCTGTGCCCTCACACATGCAGCACTGCACGTCTGCGTCACGTGCCTTGTACGTATCCAGAGCTAAAGTACTAGAAAAAAATAACTAAGTAAAAGTACCTTAACAGAAAATGACTTTGGTAAAAACAAATGTCACTGGTGAGAAAACATCAAAGTATCATTTTTAGGTTTTAAAAATAACTAAGAAAAAGTAAAAGTCATGATTAAAAAAATTACTTGGTAAAACTACAAATCTTCAAAAAAATTATGTACTGTAACAAAGTAAATGTACTTAAAAGAAAAAAATAGTATATGTCCTCTGGACGGGTTCTTCTTTAATGAAACGTTTCGTCTCTCCTCCAAGAGACTTCTTCAGTCTGAGAGTTTCAGGCTAAATTCAGGCTTTTAAATGTACTTAGTTACTATAAACCTCTATCTCATCATTCTGCGTGTCTGCCTGTGTTAGTCTTAAACTGGAAGGAAAGAAGAAGACGTGAGGCGCAGATTGACACTGAAATCCTTGTAATGTGGTCAGAAATGGTGATTTGGGAGATGTAGTTATTCATTTTTATAAGTTTTTATCCTGGTGGATTAATGATTTAATAGCTGTTGATATAACAGATCTGCAGGAGGGTAAAGTAAAAAGGCCCAAAAAGGTCCAAAAAGAGCAAAAACAAAATGACAACTAGTATAATTATCAAACCAATCACTTATGATTATCTGAATTTTTTATTAATTATAAAAAAAAATCATCAGGTTTTGTTGGGACTTAAAGGTTTTATTAGTTGTGTAAGTTTCTCTAAACCAGGGGTTATCTGCCGACCCATTACAAGGGTGAAAACCAGAGCTGTAAAGTAACTAAGTACAAATACTTTGTTACTGTACTTAAGTAGAATTTTTGTGTGTCTGTACTTTACTTGAGTAATTATTTTTCAGCCTACTTTTTACTCCTTACATTTTTTTAAAAAGACAAGAAGTAGAAAGTTGTTGCTTTTATTTAATTTCTGCTTGTTTTCATTGCAGCTTGTTGTTGTAAAAAATAAAAACTATCCATATAAACTGAGCCTCCTAGATAGAGTGAATTTAACTGTGGTTGAATGAGAAGTATAAATATATAAAACTCTGATAGTGTATTAGTTTGTACACAAACAAATCATGTCACACTCCAGCAGGACAGAATCATTCAAATAAAAGGACTGTACTTAAGAAGTATTTGTATTTCATGAATTATATTCTTACATTTGGCCGCAGCCCTCAGATAGATTTTCATTTTGGGGAAAAGCTTTGTGCAGCCTTGATATATGTATATAAACTGAAACAGCTGGACTAGTGCATCCTAAATTTAACATCCATTCATTCTTTTAATACAACAGTCATTTCTGCAGTTTTTGGGGAGGTCACCTCCTAATAAATGTCCTTACAGAAAATCTAACTGATCATTTTAAATCTACACTTTCACTTTTAATACTTAACTACAACAAATATCACATACTTTAAGACTTTTACTCAAGTAATATTCCTAAAGGAGACTTTAACTTTTACCAAAGTATTTTTGGTAAAATACTTGTACTTTTACTCTAGTAATATTCCTAAAGGAGACTTTAACTTTTACCAAAGTAATATTTTGGTAAAATACTTGTACTTTTACTCAAGTATCACTTTGTGAGTTCCAAGGGGATAGTATTTTTGTTTGGTTTAGTGTGTTTGTTTTACTAGTGCATTGTTCTCCAAATGCATATATTTTAAATAAAAACCAAATTAACAATTTACTGAAATGTCTTGAGGACACCTTAAGCTTGCGGACCCCTGGGACCCCAGTTTGAGAACCTCTGCTCTAAACAAACCTGTCCTGTCTAAAGTTAGTATTTTTTCACATTTTAAATGCTAGTCTGAAGTCGCAAAAATACACAATTAAATGTGTGCAAACATCAGCTTTAGCAGTCTGACGTGACAAAAACAATCAACCTCACATTACATTTACAACAAATAAATAAATAACCTGTATGTTTTTTTTCAATTTTATTATTTTATTTCATATACATAACTTGCATTGAAAGTTTCGCTATCAACACCGCATTTAAAATCTGAAATAAGTGCCGTATTTAGACTACATTTATTATTCAGGTTTGAAGGGCCTGCCATACAGATACATCATTTCCTTAAATAAAGACAAGAGGTAGAAACAAAGCTCAGTATTTTTTGTGTTGGGAGTGTGTACATGTGTGTGTGTCCATGTGTAAATCTTTAGTTGGATCCATACATGTATGTTTTCCACATGTGCCTTTACTGATAACAGTTCAAAAAACTTCAAGACATTCCCCACAGATGCACAGTGTGAAGCCTGATTATGTTATGTAGTGGTCACCAAAATGTAGTGATATACACCTTCTTATAACAAAAGTTATACGGAAATTTATGAACGAGTTCTCTTATTTTCAGGAAATATTTTCCTTATGCAAAAATGACAAAACACAATAAGATGAGCGTACCTGGTGTCTGGCTGAATTCGTTGAGGTCTGCCCTTTCTGGTCAAATACCCACATTTTTTAAAATTAAAGAACTAATTAACCCTCTTACTCTTCCTTCTTTCTTTACCCTAAACCAGGCCTATTCAACTGGTGGCCCACGGGCCACATCTGGCCCGCGAGTGACCAAAGTTCGTCCCAATTTTTTCATTTATCTCTTCAGCCCAAACCCCCGGTTTTCTACTTTAATTACTCTAAGTTGTTTTAGTTAAACACAGACATGTTTGTATCTACAGAAACATCAGAATCTTGGCTACAAGTTGGTAACAAAACATTTTATGAACATTCAAGACAGTTAAAATTACAAGCAGTTGAATGTAAAACTATGAAAGTGAAAATAAAATTTGGCAAGTCAGATGTCAAAATATTATATGTGGTAAATAAGAGGCCTAATGTTTTTGTTTTATTATTACTTTTAGATATTATTGGTTCGATATTAGCATAAAAATGTAAAATCTCTACATATCGGTATTGTTTCTTATTCTGATAACAAAAGCTTGCTAAATTAATGCCTGGATTTGACCAAAATGTGTTAATAAATTTTTGTGGTCCAGAGAAGTTCACCGGTGTGCAACTGATGACATCATCAAACTGGATTATCTCAGGGAGAACATGATCCAAGCTATTGTTTGAGACAAAATGTTAAAAATAAATACGGCACTTTTTACCTAACTTTAGTTAAATGGTTTTTGTTTTTGTACAATGTTTACCTATGGATGCATCCAGTGGGGTATCAAAAAGCAGGTAATGTCCCTGACAGGAGATATGTGATGTCACCTTAATATCAGTTTGTAATATCGGTTAATATCGGAATCAGAATTGAAGTGTTGAACAATGTCGGCATATTGAATATTGGCAAAAAGTCAATGGGTTCTGTATGTTGTATTTATGATTAAATACAGCAAAATAAACTATTTCAAAGGTAACAGATCTTTGTAAAACTTGGTTTATTTACATAATGACTTTAACTGCTGGATGTTCGGCCCCTCAGCTGTTGACCTGCAGTAACTGTGGCCCCCGGAGCAGCTGAATATCCCCGGTCTAAACCTTATGTCCTGCCAACCTTAAGAAAAAGCACTGCAAACAAAGGGTTTAATAACATCTAAGCCTAAAAGTTTGTTGTTCTAACTCTTTATAGGAAATTTGATTGTCCACAATAAGCTGTATATTAATGATTTGTTTTGATTCTGTACATAAATGAAATTGTTTATTGTTAGATCAAACTATATGCTCATCTTATTGTGTTTTGTCATGCAATTCTGCATGAAGAAGATATTTCCTGAAAATAAGATAACTTGTGATAAATAAATTTACTTATAACTTTTGTTATAAGCGGGTGTTTATTCTTACATTTACCAATTGAGTGCATTTCTTGCAAGAGATTCGCAAAAAATCATCCGATATTTGACAGGGATCGGGCTGTTTTAGCCAAAGTTTCATATGCTTTTTTACAACGTGTTTGTGTGTGTGTGTGTGTGTGTGTGTGTGTGTGTGTGTGT